CACACGTGTTCAGCTGCGGAACGCTACGCACCTCCACTTACCTCGGTGCCGTACACAGACGTACCAGGCCAGCTTTCTGCCTTATGCGTCACAGCTGTGGAATCAGCTGCCTCAGTCTGTTAGAGAGGCCCGCAGCATTAGAACATTTAAGAACATGTGTCAGGCCCACCTGCTCACACAGCAGAAGCACCAGTTGACCCGGAGACGTGGCCCCAGACACGAGAACATTCTGGCGGCTAGAAACCGCATGAACTGTAACGAGTACTAAATGGACTGATATACTAGTAGTCTAATCTATGCTTATACTTACTTTTATATACTTATTCTAGGTTTATATGTGTGTCTTGTTTGTGTGCTTGTGATTGTTTTGTGTGTGGGCCACAACACCAGCCTCCGCTGCCTGTGGCCCACGAGTATTGTACTTGTTTGCAATTCTAATAAATCAAATCAAATCAAATACGATGAATAGTTGTATTACGTTACCCACAAAATATGATATGTGGTGGCATGAGAAACCTCAGAAGATGATGATAATCTATTAGGCAGTTACATATATTTATGGTTTTATCTAAGTTTGGTTTTAACCTGCCAATGATGAAAAGGATGGCTTGGTCAAATATTTTGCCAAATCAAAACTATGTTGCAGGGATTTACAAAAGGAAATGCCCATGATATCACAAAAGCTTGTAAATAAATATCTGGGTCAAATATGTAACCATGATGATAAAAGTATATGTCACAGGCAGCTGTGGTAGTGATACACATTTAGTAGCATCAGTTTTGGTGAGGGCAGTCATCACAAAATGCCTTTTAGACAGTTATATAACTGAGATGACCAGAAATTTTATTTCCTTTGCTGAATTCCATGAAAGTTCGCTTTATCTGTATGGCTTAAGTCAGAATCGTTCAGTTCTTTATTTGGAAAAGAATCATGCATGTGTTATCAAAACCTAAGAATTTAAGGTTGACATGATTCAAACAGTATCGTACATCCTGCCCTGTTATCTTTGTGCGTAGATAAAATGCATGAAATTCAGGGCTTATTACTGACTGGTATATCTGATGTAGAAGTTATAATCTCTGAACAAATAAGCATCATCAGCATTCATGAACCACCAGCATGTGTGGTCCACTGTGGTATTTGCAGATTTTGGACCAACAGGTTGAGAGTTTGAATCCCAAGTTGTGGGTTTTGCACATATAACTTAATGGAAGGATAACTGTAGCCACCAGAGGTCTATGATTAGCTGTAAGTATTCAGGAAAGGTAATGAGAATTTCCCTGGTGTCCTGAACTTTTTTTTTCTAAACATATACTGTAAACCTTATATTACTGTATGTCTTTCGTGTTCCAGCCACTGGTAGATTAATCTTTGAGTAACCTAATTTGGATCAAATTCAATTTACATTTAACCCAGTGATATATTATCATTTCTCTTGTTTCAGTAAACAGGAAGGGAACAACTTGAAAATCTGACGGGATCTTCCGCAAATGTCTCTTGGACTGTTGGAGAGTAAGTTCTTCAGGATGGACCCCTTTTTGGAACATTAGGTCAGGACTGCGGTTATTGAAAGACACATTATGGCAGAGCCAGCAATCAACCCAGAAAACGTGCAATATTTCCACGGACTGATCTCACGAGAAGAGGCCGAGAAAATCCTGACGGATGCCGGCTGCAGCGAGGGGATGTACCTTCTCCGCGAAAGCACGACAACGTCAAACACGTACGCGCTCTCGCTCTGCCACAGGCACAAAGTCTACCACTACGCCGTCACGCGGAACCAGTTCGGCATGTACTCCATCGAGGACGGGAAGAAGTTTCCCGGGCCGGTAGAACTGGTGCGTTACCACGAGATCGAGCAGAACGGACTCCTGTCGTGCTGCAAGATTCCCTGCATCCGCCCGGAAGGCCAACCCCCCAAGATGGGCTGCAGAAGCATGGTACAGCAGAATTTGGAGGGCATAGCTAGGGACGTTCTGGGGATCGAGGTGATTAGTGTTAGCCTGGGTGCCATCCTCCGTGGTTTCAGGCCCCTCACTAATGTTGCTGCCTACCAGGGTACGGAAAAGTAGTGGGCGGAAACTACAGAGGATGGCACCCAGGCTAGATTAGTGTCAACTGAAACTTGGAAACATTTGAGGGAATCATTGTCTCACCACTGTTTTTATATGCTTACTGAAGTAAAACATTGTTTCTGCTCTGTTTCTTCTTCTTCCGTTTCAAATACTGACCTGGTCAATAACCTGAACCAGACCATCTGTTACCATGGTAACTGGTGTCGGGTTACATAATGTTGCAAATTTTATAGCAGGAGGGATTTAGACTCCTGTCACCATATATATGAATGTGTTTGAGTAAGAGAATTAACAGAGCAGACCATATGCAAAGGTAAACATTATGCATTTGCTTTGCAAATGTCAACTTTCTAGTTGAAAAATCAATCTTGTCTTTTTAGAGCACACAACTGGAGGATGAGTTGACCGGTACCCAGAAGTCCCACATTGAGGAGAAGGTGCTGAAGATCTACCACCTGCAGCCGGACTGTTACTGGTTTCACAGGTGTATCTCACGTGACGAGGCTGAGAGACGACTGCTCAAGGCAGGGCCATTCGACGGCAAGTTCCTGTAAGTACACAGGTTAAAATATTGGAATTTGAAAAAATATCACTCTAATGGTAAGAGGTACCATATTTTTTGTACTAGATCATGGAAAAAGCTAGACATTACTGTAACTAGCATTTTCTCCTTCTTATAAGTACTACTGGAAGAATATCATTTCTGAATCAGTAAGCTTTACTAGATAGGCTTAATAGGTACATATCTTGATGAACAATAGCTGACCCATCTCTGCCCTACAGTGTACGTGAGAGAGACGACCCCGGGACCTTTGCCATCGGCCTGTGCTACGGCAAGGCCATGTACCACTACAGGATCGACAGGAACTCAGACAACACTCTGTCCATCAAGGATGGCAAGAGGTTCGGCAGTCTGGTGGAGGTAAGAGAACATTTTCATGTAATATGATAAAGTAGCACAACTTGAATTGGCAGGCTTTACCTCCTTACCCATATTGTTGTGCAACCCTTGCAGCCCCCCCCCCCCCACACACACACATAGACAAAGCATGCACGTGCACATTTCATCATGCAGAAAAAGCAAAAACTTGGTGTTTAGTGCCACCCACAACCCATTGTGCCTCATACGGGAAAAGCAAAACCTGTTCTTGGTGCTGAACGCCATCCACAAACTATTGTGCCCAACAGAAATAGTCTGACAATCTGCACCTATTTGTGGGAGCCTTTGGTACTTACAAGACAAGTTGGACTGTGCTTACATGTACCAGGTATCTGTACTGTCATGTAAGGTTGTAGACTGACAAGCCAAGAACAGTATACACATGTACATGTACTTTACTCCCTCAAGGTGCAGTAACACAGCTAACCCCTGTTGTTGTTGACAGATGGTGTATCACTACAGTAAGAAGGCTGATGGTTTGTTCTGCCCGTTGGATGAGATCTGTCCCAGACCGGGGATCCCTGAACACCTCAGAGGTAAACATTCATTCTCCTGTAAAAATAATTACTAATTCTCCTGTAGAGTTATTGAAGAAAAAGTCAATTTATACATATACAGTATCATTACCTTTCAGGGAGAAGGTAAATGTTATTATAATAGTCTAAGAGCTGTTGAAGTCTACCAGATTTTAAGTACATGTATAGGAAATAATAACAACCAACTTAGTTTTGACAGAAAACTTCAGCTGTCCTTTTGACTTTGTTAGGCTATCACACATATTCCTTGAATGTAAAAAATTTTAACTTTAAGTTAGATTCCATGTCTATGATTGTATATGATAGCAAATTTCTCCATGAACTCAATTAATTTTTTTGAATTATTTTTCATATTCCTCCACCTCCAGGTGTGAAGCTGACAGTTGACTACAAACCCCCCACACCTGACAGGAAGCTCCCGGAGCCCCCCCTACCCCAGCGCCCCGCCAGTCTCTCACCGAACATACCGCCGCCTCTGCCCGCCAACCCCCCTGGACGCACGCCAAGCCAGAGAAAGGCCAGTTTACAGACTCCAGCCTACCCTGCACATGTACTAGTTTCATGCTGACGTCTATGCATTTGTTAGCATGTCGGCAGAACGCAATGTGCCTGCGCAAAACTGATTTTTCACGTTTTTTGTTGGATGGTTGGTCAATGTTGCATCAGAATTTTGCCTGTTGCAGGCAATATCTTTTCCAACATAACATTTGGAAACTATAGTCAGGATGTTAACCTTATATATGCAAATACGACCTTGTATGAGATGTTCTGCCAAAGTGCTATGCACAATACATTACAGGTTTCATCATGCAGGTACAGTACTTTCTGTCGACGTGCTGCATTCAGATTTTTATATCAAATTTGTCGTTTGCTGAAAGTTTTATTCCATAGTTTTTATGTTATTGTGGTGCATATAGCAGTAGTAAAGACAAAAAGTTAGGGATTACGAGTACCCAGTTATTCTGACAATCAACAATTTACACATGTTGACTGATTTGCTTTACTAGATGGTATGCTGAAAACTTTTCCCCGATGTTTTCTTGTGTGTGTTTTGACTAGCTCACTCAGAGTCAGAAAAGGATGCAGAATCGACGCAGTACGGAGCCAGCATTACCGGGACTGTTACACTTACAGATTCACGTAGGCTTTACATGGACATAATTACTGCATGTACTGCTTCCTCTAGGGATAGGATGCTGTAGACTAGGCAGGGTGCCTCCAGGACATGGTTTTGGTTGCAGTGCTCAACTCCCCTTTCCACTAAAGCGGCAAACATTGAGTGGCCAAAAATCAGTAGTGCAAACAAATTTTGTAGTGTTTTTTGAAAGTTCCATGTGTCTTGTTGTCATTACGAATCATATTCCAATGATAAAGTCATCGGTCATCCAATGTTGGTCACTCAATGGTCCGACACTAGTCGTCATTCAGTGGAAAAGGGGACTTAGGTGGTCTGCTTTGATTGCTGCTGCCATAGATACACGAATAAAGCACCAGAACGTTGTGCTATGTGAAGGTCTTTTGCATTGTGATAAATACTAACTCAGTATTGTACTAAACATGTTACTTTGTCTCCTTCCAAGTCACAAGTGTTTCATGTCAGAATGTAGAGACTGCTGCATGGGAATGGTGGCAATGTTTTTTTACCTGTAGCCCTTTGACAGACTTATAATGTCTACAGACTTGACTATTGATGTGAACATGAAGCACCTCTATAATGCATGATTTTGAAAGCATTGATGGTTAAGGTGATAGTATTCATTCAACTCTTTTCAATCAGAGCTATGATATGATTATATGTGGGTGCTTGTTCAGTAGATTTGTACTGCAGCATTATTACAAAAGATGGTGACATTTGAGCACTAAGTCGCTATGATAATACCTATGATGTTGTCTTTCTTTGGGCAGTCAAAGTATAGCCCACCACAAAGTACTGAAAGTCTCATGTCATTTTCTACAGGAAGGAGTCAGACCTAGGAGCCCCCTACTGCCCCCCTCCCCCAGGTCACTACATAGTCCCAGGACTCCTGGGTCCCCCATGGCACTGCCTGGCATGTCTCTGAACAGTACTGACATCACCAACTCTATCTGGGACGAGAGTGACCCAGGTAAGCTGGCACTGTTTTTTCTACATCCAGGCTAGAAGGAGGCTGCTATGTATCAAGTCTTAAGCTATATCTACATGTACATGTACAGTACTACATGTAGTCTTGCACAGGTTAAGCAAAGTGCAATAATATTGTTTGCAATATACACAAAAACAGCCAACCAGTTTTGTACATGTATGTCTCTTGCATAATTACAGAATTGTTTTAACTGCAAAATCCTACGCGAAAATTAATGTTGTCACACTTTGAACAGAAATGAGTATTACCAATATGTAGGTTACCAATGCTTCAAGAACCTTTCTGTTTATAGACTGTTCTATTTTTCCTCCGCATGCTCCAGAGTTGTTACTGTTTTTGTAGTTAAGCTGGTTACACATGTACAGTGGGGTCTTGTGGCGTAACGGCAGAGCATTCAGCTGGGAACAAAGGTCCCAGGTTCGAATCCTGCCAAGTCACCAACCTTGTGCCCGTGGAAAAGGCACTTAACACGACTTTCCTCACTTCTCTCAGGTGAAAATGAGTATGCCAGAATGATCATTATCATGATCGTGGGCATTAAAGGAAAGCCAATGTTAATTTTTCTGTGTAGCGGACCAGCTGCCCCCGATGCCCCAGAACTGGCTGTATAACAAGGACACCCCCCCGATGGAGGCCATGGGGTGGGAGAGTCCGTACAGTGATGTGACCCTGAGAGAGGGCAGGAAACTGGAGCTGGACCCCTCGAGGCTGCAGCTTAAGGAGAAACTGGGTTTGTCTGCTCTCAAGTCTTGGATGCAATCTTGTATTTTGTTTAATTGGGTCGGACAATTATCAGTTTTTCAATTTTTATAGGTTTTGAATACTGTAATTGACTTTACGGTAGGGAAATTTCATGGTCTGAGAAAAATGGAACTGTATGTTCATGGTGGCAGCATGTGCAGGAAAAAGAAAGTCAGTAATTGATTTGCGATAATTATAAGTTCACAGTACAGAAGTGACCATGAAAACCATGAACATTAAAGTACAGTGAAAAAATCAGGGATTACACTATTACACACTAGTACTAATGGAATACATGTAACTCTCCTTAAACAATGGCTTATTGTTGAAGTCTCATTAGCTTAATGTTGAATTCTCAGCCATTGCTACAAATTTTTCATGCAAATTGTTTCAAAGTCTAGAAAAAACATTTAAAAAAAAATGATTTTGGAAAAGTCTTGAGAGAAAGTGTTTTTTTGCAGTACAGTTGTTGTGTGTTAATGGGTTGTTATTGTTTAGGCGCGGGGAACTTTGGCTCGGTGCTGAGCGGAACATACCAGCTGGGTAGGAAGACCATCGAGGTGGCTGTCAAGACACTGAAGACAGAACAAGTACCCAACGAGGAGGTAGGGCCACCATAGAACTGTTCTGTATTTTTTCTTAGCTCTCTACATGTAATGTCAGCTTAGAAGAAGGTTCAGAACCTTAGGAGAAGGTTCGGAAAAAAACAGAGACAGTGAAAACATGTAGCACTAAATACACCCCTAACTGCACAGCACACATGCAGCACGTGCAAGCAGAGCTGGACTCACAAGCCACAAGAGAACTCCAGAGGCACTCAGAGGCACTTTTTGCTAAGACTGAACTGCCAAAGAGAATGTCAGCTTTGATAGGGCCATTCTTTACTTTTATAACCTGCAATGTAATGGACAGCACCGTATACATTCAAGAGACTACCGAACAGAATCACACATACACAAAACTAAAAGTGTCACTTACTGTCACAGTAGCTCTTTGGTAGTTTCTGATTTTAAAACATGTATATGTATCAGTCAACACATGTACATTGCACCTCAAACAGAGACCATACCTCTGTTGTTTATTTTTGTTTACCTGTTATTATTTACAGCCTGAGATTCTGAAGGAAGCCAACATGATGAAGGACCTTGACCACCCCCACATAGTGCGGATGATTGGCGTGTGCCACGGGGAGACCATCATGCTTGTGTTAGAGTTGGCCCCACTCGGGCCCCTCAACAAGTACCTGAAGAAGAATGCGTGAGTGTTGTCTTGGTGTTTAAGAACCCAGAGATAGGATGTGTCTGACTGTGTATATACCCATTTCTTGTGAAATATGAAATACAAGTATAATTATGCATACAATATCTGATGGATATTAGACTCAATTTTGCATCTGTCAATCGAACAGGGCATATGGTTTATGATAATTTCAATATCATCAAGTTAAAAGAGATCAAAAGAGAAATTCTGTCATACGATTTCTTTTTGGACTGAACTACAAATGTAACGTTATATGGAAACTACATGTACAATGTATAACTCGCTATTCTGTTTAATGTCAGACAATGTTTTCCCCATCGATGGGGGTTGAACATGCTTGCACGTTGATGCTAAGGCTCAATTGCAATGGCCTGCCATTTGCCTCTATCCTGTAGGTTCACATTGTAAAAAAAATGGGAATTATCCTTATACACACAAACACAACCTGTATGGTTGTGGTCCAGTAACATGCTACATGTATTTTGCTCTAGGTACATGATGAAAGGTGAAAGTTAAATTCTCTTGAATGAGACAAAGGAAAACCAGTTGCTGGTCCAGTTACTTGAGTAACTGTTTTCTTGTGTAACTCATGTCTAACCTTCTAATCTCTTGAATGTCTTTTTTCTTGCACAGCTCGGTGCGCCCAGAGAGAATAGTTGACCTGATGACACAGGTAGCGGAGGGGATGGCGTACTTAGAGAGTAAGAACTTCGTCCACCGTGACCTGGCCGCCCGTAACATCCTGCTGGTCAGCGAACTTTTCGCCAAGATCTCAGACTTTGGCATGTCCAAGGCCCTCGGACTGGGAAGTGACTACTACAAGGTACATAAGGCATAGGAAAAAAAATGTTGTTTCCTGACCGACCCTAGAAAAACCTGCCTTAGACTTTTTTTGGGGATGGACCCCTGTAAGGGACCTGAGAGATAAAACGTTGTGCAATTGGTTTTTAACATTGACATTGAAAATAAAAGTGTCCTCATGCAAGTTTTTGTTTGTTAAACTGTAACTATATAAGTTGGACCCCTATATAGATATCACTGAATTCTAAAAGAAAAAAAAAATTTTTAGCACCTGCCACTATGAACCTATAGTTCATGAACATGTCCATTTTTCTCAGACCCTGAAATTTGCTACCGTGAACATTAAGTGAATTACAGTATCCCACCAACCAATTTTTACATACCTTATACATGATTGTATATCTATCATGATATGAAATCACTGATTTCCCTTTCAGACGGACACTGCCGGCAAGTGGCCCCTGAAGTGGTATGCCCCGGAGTGCATCTACTACTACAAGTTCAGCAGTAAAGCAGACGTGTGGAGCTATGGGGTGACACTGTGGGAGGCCTTCAGTAGTGGCAGGAAGCCCTATGCTGTAAGTTCATAGATAGTAATAATATGTTTATTGCTGCAGCAAATTCTTGCCCAAAGGCAAATTAACATTATAGAATAATTATGATAATATAACATGTGACTACTGTAGTCGAAATGCTGACTCTAAATACTGTCTAAATGTGGACACTAAATTCAAACTTTGTCAATGGCAATGGGCAAGATCTGCCTTTTAAGCTGAATTGGTGTTTGTCAAAGAATCACATGATGATATGTAATACACAATACCATTGTTGTTTTGTGCAGGGCATGAAGGGCCAGGACATCCTGACGTGGATTGAGAGTGATCGGCGTCTGGAGCGGCCCCTCACCTGTTCCGAGGAGGTGTACGCTGTCATGAGGTCCTGCTGGCAGTACAAGTAAGACATAACATTTCTCTGACAAGGAGGTCATGTCATTCACTGACGCTAATGAAACATCATGTACCTGGGCCTATAAAGAAAGGGTTAACGTATCAGATTTTGGGTCCTTCTAAACTGTAACTTTGTTTCAATGCTACAGTGGAACAAGCATTTTTAGCCTTTTTTATCTTCTTTGAAAGGACCTATTACTGTAACACATTTTGTAAAATATCAATAACCGTAGAGATGCCATTTATAGGATATACTACTAGCTTGAATGTGTTAACCTGAAATCAAAATGATTCAATTGTTTTGATTCATTTTACCCGTTGATGTTTCAGAGCCAAAGACCGACCAACATTTGCAGAATTGTCAGCAACAATGAAGGACCTTCAGTACCAAGTACAGCAGGGTACCATACTGGCGGGGCTCGAGCCTGGGGAATCCAGCTTGTAACCAATCAGCACACAGCAACACCACCAAAGAGCCAATCACATGCCACCAAAGACGATGTGACCAATCAGGGAGGTCCAGAAAATAATCAGGTGGCCAATAAGGATGAAAGTTTCTCGACCAATCAGAATCGTGTAGAAATCAGAGGTTGGACATATCATTATCACATGCAGTGCTGATACAAGAGACAAATTGTAAATAATTATCTGGCAATAAAGATAGTAGAAATACTGGATATTCAGAATCTGATGTAGCCTTTGACATTTTTCTGTTATACATGCATATATTGACTACAGTAACTTTTGGTACTATATCTGTTCTCTTTTTTTATATCTGTTCTTTTTCAATTATCAGATCAATGCCATGTTTTTGTTCCGGTAGAATTTGAGTATTACGGTAACCACAATCCACACACAAACTGTAGCTGCTTATGGACAGGCCAGAGAAAATTGTGGAGGTATTTAACAAGAATGTAGAATCTGATGCATTTTAAGTAAGATGACCAGTTTTCCAGTACTGTAGTTCTTTTTTTAATCTAAGAATCAACAAATTAAATTTTTGCAACCTTCCTGATGCAAAATAATATTTCCCCACATATCAATAAAAAAAAACTTTTGACCTATTCTGTTCGTCATCATCAGTGTTCTTGCTGTGGGGTTGTGCATGATTATTTTAATTTGATAATACTGTCAGCATTGTTACCGCTCTTTTTGCCCTAGATGCTGCTTGTTTGTAGTTACCAATCATTTAACCATACAATCTAGATGTTAGAAAAGCACAATTTTGAAAATATCACATGGTACAGACGTTCAAGGGAAAAAGTCACTGGGTACAAAAATGTACATGTATCAAGCCTAGTGTTGTACTGTCATGTTGAAATCAGTGCCTTGTAAAATGCTACTGTCAAATAAAGTGGTAGGACCCGTATGTTACACAGGGTAGTCAGTACTAGCTACATGTACATGTATAGTCATGTAGTAGTTATAGGGGATAAAGCACAGGGTAGCAAAAAATGTAACTGAAGTGGCCAATGCAAATACTAGTGTATGAATTGATATATATACGGAAGAACTTTTCATTTTGTTAAGGCAGACTATAGACAATATTGTTACAGTAATATTATATTATAAATGGGGTATCCATGCATCTCAGCACCTTTTTTCATATCTAACTTGGTTTATAAAATGAAACGGAGCAAAAAAAAGGAAAATACAGGCAATTTTTTATTTAACTGCTTAACTGCTTTGTACATGACTATCCAGACATCTGACTCATGTAACTCAGGCGCAAAGGGTGTGTAGAAATCTGGACAGTTTCTTTTGTCTCTTCTCATAAAGTTGTTCTGTCCAGTGTCCAGCAAGGGTGTTGCGTCAGGCCTCTAGCCAGCTCACAATCTTTTTCTGTCAGCCCAAAACACTCGCAATCTAAGGGAGTCCACAGGTATGCTCCCCTGATTTTCAAGCCTTTCAAAACGCAATTTCCCACATTTTGAGAGGCAAATCATAATCATGCGGTTGAAAGTGGTTCTTCAGATGTTTTTATATTTTCACCCAAGCTTTTTTGTTGATTTTGTCAGTAAATGTTGACGGATTGATTTTAAAAACTATCTGTCACACAACGCAAAGTTCTGGTAATATCAGGAAAAACAGGTACTGGGTAGAGCCCTGTGTCGTGCACTCCCAAGGTCACATCACTAATGTCAGACATCCTTTAGAAGGTTGTACATTGTAATCATGGGAAAATTCAGTATATTTAGTCAGGTCAGAAGTCATATTCGTTTCTGTTGTATCAACACAAATGAGCTTATTTCATGATAAATTGTGGGTGCATCTGCACAGTAAAGCCAGATGTTAGAATATATGCATTCAGTATCATATCCAGCTGACAGCTGTATCAGTCTTGTCTTCATGTCATAACATGTCAGCAGAACGTACTGCACCTGCACAAAACCCGTAATGTATTGTGCATAGCACTAGTACTTCGGCAGAACATCTCATATAAGGTAGTATTCGAGCATATAAGGTTAACATCCCGTCTGTAGTTTCCAAATATTATGTCAGAAAAGATAGTGTCTGCAACAGGCAAAATTCTGATGTAACGTTGACCAACATCCAACGAAAACCGTGAAAAATCAGGGTTTCATGCAGGTGCAGTACGTTCTGCCGACGTGCTTGGATTAATATGGATGCCTTCAGGACTGCAGCCTTTACTTATATTGCCATCAAGTATGCAAAGATTTTACTGTATGATTCAAATATGTGACATTTCTCTCATGCTGGCCTGTAGAAAAGTAGTCTCAGTGTATCAATGTTGGAAAAGCCGTACACTGTATATGAAATCTACAAAGGGATAGCAGGCACTATAAGATTTCAGCTGGATAAATACCATGTAGTTTATCCCAGATTTTTTCTGAATATATTTTGAACTAGTATAAAAAAAATGTATGATTATGAAGCAGTTGAAACTGTAGATGTTGAGAATAAAATGTATTTTTTACCTCAACCTTAGGAGGTTGGTCTGAAAGACTCATGTATAGCTTTATCACGACATATTGCTTAAATGTAGTAATGGCAATTCAGCAATTCTATATGGTGCAGAAAAAGTGTATTTGGTTCCAAAAGCAGTTAATTCATGCTTGATAAATCACAGTAGGTTTTGTTGTTTTGCTTGAAAGGTGCAGAAACATGTACATACAATGTACTTTGATGGTATTTGTGTCACACATAAGTAATGTTATCTTGTTGGCATTTTGTTTCCTAATCTCTGTCACTGACTTTATACTCAACTGTAACATGTAGGGAGTTGGCATCAAGAGCAATACATAGCACAAAATGTCCCCTTCCTCATAACATGTAAAAAAACACATTTTTAAACAGAAAAAGTACAAAATGAAAAAAAATATATGTATGATCGATTCTTCTGGAGTATCATAAAGTGGCCAGACTGTTTCATGTTGCCTAATTAGGCAAAACGGATGAATTCGAAGGTAACAGGGTTATTTTCATGCATATGACAACATCAACAGGATATGTCAATTGCTTTGTTAGACAAGTGCCTTCATTTATTATTCTGAAAGGACCATGTATTTATTCAATCTAACCAAATAGGGAATTCCGGCAATCATGAATCTTAAGTTTGAATTATGAAATAATGAAAATAGAGGGAAAATTAAGAACCAAACCCATACAATTATTCTCCAGGTGATAGCCAAGAATTTCTACCTATGGATAATGGAAGTTAAGAAGCAAGATGATGATTTGATTGCAAGAAAGAATGAAATAGTTGTACAATGTATCCATGGTCCTGTACACTTGCTGAATTTTTGTGCCTTCTTTCAAAATACATGTAAATGTTTCATTGTATTTTATAAGCATTTTTTACCACTACCAAATAAAGTACTGTATAAGGGTATTAGTTTCACACAGTTATATATAAATTTGCATTTGTACATGTAATTTGAAAACCCCAGAACATCATAGAATATTATATCATAGACATAACTATGCCATAAGATGATGTTCACGATATTCATATGCCCATGCTGAACAATATCCACACACAAGTAAACACACCTGTCCTTGGTGCCGAGAAATATCCACACATAGGACCTGTGTCTGAACTATATCCACACACAAATAAACATACCTGTCCTTGGTGCTGAGCACCATCCACACACAAGTAAACATACCTGTCCTTGGTACTGAACACCATCCACACACAAAGATACCTGTCCTTAGTGCTGAACACCATCCACACACAAGTAAACATACCTGTCCTTGGTGCTGAACACCATCCACACACAAGTAAACATACCTGCCCTTGGTGCTGAACACCATCCACACACAAATAAACATACCTGTCCTTGGTGCTGAACACCATCCACACACAAGTAAACATACCTGTCCTTGGTGCTGAACACCATCCACACAAAAATAAACATACCTGTCCTTGGTGCTGAACACCATCCACACACAAGTAAACATACCTGCCCTTGGTGCTGAACACCATCCACACACAGGTAAACATGCCTGTCCTTGGTGCTGAACACCATCCACACACAGGTAAACATACCTGTCCTTGGTGCTGAACACCATCCACACAAAAATAAACATACCTGTCCTTGGTGCTGAACACCATCTACACAAAAATAAACATACCTGCCCTTGGTGCTGAACACCATCCACATACAAGTAAACATAACTGTCCTTGGTGCTGAACACCATCCACACACAAGTAAACATACCTGTCCTTGGTGCTGAACACCATCCACACACAGGCAAACATGCCTGTCCTTGGTGTTGAACACCATCCACACACGACTAAACATACCTGTATACATAGACAAAGCGTGCATGCCGCGCAGTTCGTACAGAATAAAAGCTATAACCCTTCGTGCTTAGCCCCATCCGGAATCTATTGTGCCTCATACAAGAACAACAAAACAAAACAAGACAAATTGGATTCTGCTTATCTGTAATGAGCCTCTATTGTCATGTACGTTTGTACAAAACTGGTGACTGTAGCTTTAGGAGTCATTCCGTTCTTGGGGTGTAGGCTCCACGGCAACTTTCCTCTTCTTTCTATACAACAGGAACCCGCCTATGGCTATTCCTGCTCCCACAAGAACCATCGCTCCGGTCACGCCGCCTGCTACTGCCCCTCCCGGTGCCCCGCCCTTGTTAGCGGCGGCGGATCCTCCTCCCCCAGCCGGCTGGGAGTTAGCGACGCGGTCGGGGGAGGACTGGTGGGATCCTCCGGCTGTGTCATCGTAGTGGTCACGATGCTTGCGTCATTTGATGAACTAAAGGTTGTGGTAACAGGTGTGGTGGTTGTAACAGTAGGCGTGGTGGTTGTAACAGTAGACGTGGTGGTTGTAACAGTAGGCGCGGTGGCTGTAACAGTAGATGTTGTGGTTGTAATAGCAGGCGTGATGGTTGTAACAGCAGGCGTGGTGGCTGTAACAGCGGGCGTGGTGGTTGTTCCAGCAGGCGTGGTGGTTGTAATGGCAGGCGTGGTGATTGTAACAGCAGGCGTGGTGGTTGTAACAGCAGGCGTGGTGGTTGCACTCGACGCACACCTGTCCCGCGCTGACACAATCTGTTCTTGCGTCATGGCGAAGTCGTACAGCTGGATACAGGCTATCCGGCCCGCGAAGTACCGTCTGTCTCCGTCTTTCACCGCCACACGGACCGCGTACTGGCTCGCGACGGACGGGACCCCGATCTGCAACTGCGCGACCAGTTCACCGTCGTTCCAGACGGCTTCCACCCCCGTGGAACTGTCGTAGGTTCCGCCCACGTAGTTCCAAGCGTTCTGTTGCAGCACATTCGCGGAGACGGGGGGTATGGAATCCCATCTGGTATGTCGCCCTATCGTCCTGCAATAGACAATTGTTTTTATTACAATCTTCCAGGTGTCAACCGAAGAAAATTAAACATATCCATTCTTGCCTCTTGTTGGTGTGATATCTGTATCTTTGATGCTATATTTTCATACAATGCCGATGTCATCCCTTGAACTAGCAACAGGCGCTGAGATGCACTGTTGCACTACTAGAAATAAAGACTATTATCAAAGTGGGCTGGGTGTTTGTATGACAGATAATAATATATAACTTAATTCCGTACAGTAATTTTGGACGATTCCTATGTTAAGAGTATATTAAGGTTATGTCTCAATTTGAAGGGTTTTTGTTCAGTCTGTGTCTTGTAAGCAGCTACTCTGATCGCTACTGTGACGAATAAACAGATGAAAAAACTGGAGCTAAAATAGATTAAATACAAAGCCTTAAACGTACCGCAGGAATAGGGCCTGGTGGGAGGTCTGCCAGAAATGTATCGCCCACAGATGATCATTGTTGTTCCCTACGTAGTTGAAGATTGGTCCATCATAACCTGTAGGATATATGTTGGCCAGTATGGTGTAGGACAACCTCACATCCAGCCGTCCGTTGTTGGGGATGTCGATGTAGGAACTCACAGTCCCGGAAAACAGGAAAGCGCCGTCAGGGTCTCCGTTTGGACCTGGTGCCAACTGGGTTCCCGTTGCTACCCCGTCATTTCCGTTTCCTGATGCGTCTGATGCTCCGTACTGCGAGTTTAATGGCCACAAACCGACTGCGTCAGCTGCAGAGAACACATGTGTATGGAGTTCAAATTAGTATAGCTTTAATTAGGTATCAATGTGTACGTAATTACATACTAGTATGCATAGTGCCTTTCTAATTGACTATAAACGAACAAATAGACCTGTCTCAAGTGCTGAAATATATTCACACAAACAAACAATCAATCAATCAAAGAAAAACATCTGTCTTTGGTGCTGAAAACCATCCAGTCAAAAACAAACAACAAACACGCACTCGCAGGTGCGCGCTTCGTATAGGAAACAAAACCTGTCCTTGGTGCTGAACGCCATCCACACACCGTTGTGCCCGACATAAATTCGTTGTTCGGTAATCTGCACCTATCCGTGGAAGCTTTTGGTAGATTCTAACGATACAAATTGGACTTAACTGAACTTTCCCCCTAGTCATTTAGGTTTGTAAAACACTGGTGACTGTCAGGAGGAACATTGTTAGGGGGTAAGCTCCACGACAACGTTTTTTCCTCTGTTGTACTGTGCACAAGAATAGTTCAACGACCTTGCAACTCCCCTGAAACACTCGGAGCCTTGTCTCTTTGTACCGAAAACATGGGCCTGTGTGTGTGAGTGTGAGTGTGTGTGTGTATGTGTGTGGTATAGAGTGAAGCGCACAGGGCATATAGCAGGCTTTCCTAAGACTGTTGAGTGTTTTAAATTAAGAGTTCTACAGGAGCAACAATATAACTTTGGTATTGTCCTACCTTCTCCACACCGGAGCACCCCCACCCGCATGCTGAGCCACCCAGACCAGCTCCATGGGTGGAACCGAACAAACCTTGCCGTGAACGGCGGAACAATGAGGTGTTCAACTTCGGTGTTCATGTCAGTATTGCCTGTAAACACCTATTAAAGAAATAATTAACAGCTCATATGTAGATAAACATTTACAGCATAAATCAGTCTACTACCTGATGTAGAAATGTAGGTGTTTTATCATTGTAAGAATGTACTGATTTTTTTCATCAAAATGTCGCCAATAACTTGTCTTCATTGATACAGAAAAAAAAAAGACTTAGATAAACCAACACACGTAACATATTAGTATCTTCACCCTTTGCAGTAACATATAGACTTGAAAAGTACAATGTAATGCTATAGGATAACATCGGACTATAACCTTTTCTTGTCCTTCTTCGGAGTATGTGTCCCACACGACGCCATCTGTGCTGAAGGTTAGTTTATAGCTGGTCACCCACTGGTTGTAGTCCCCCCTTCCTTGAGTGATCACTCCCGATACGTTGGCCAGTGAAGTCAGATCAACCTATTCGGAAATAACTTATTAACGAAATATTATGTAGATTTTCTTACAAATGATTGTGTGGCGTCGGGGCGCAACGGTCAGAGAGTTAGACTCGGAACCAATACGTTCCGGGTTCGATACTCAACTTGGCCCGACGCTGTGCCGTTGAGAAAGGCACTTTACACGACTTTGGCTATCTGTCTAACTGTGTGGCAAAAACACACTACGGACTTGGTTCGCCAATGAGCCAACATCTGCACATTTGCCACCGAGAGCCGTTAATTTGTTTTTTAAAATGATTAAAAAAATACAGTGAATGCCATACTGATAGAAACAAACTAACCCAAAATAGTCAATGAGTCCCTGTCATTGATATGAATCAATAGAAGACGAATGCCACTTTTTGATTGTTTGTCCCAAATATTCTGATATACGTAATTCATTATATGCAACTATATCAACTTCTATACCAGAATTTCTCGCCATGGATTCATCTAGCAAATTCAGATACTTGTTGACTTTTGACAATCCATACATTGTGAATATAGGACAGTATTTTAAAGAATGTCTAAACGTAAGAAACTCTTTTAATGATTGTATAAGCGCCTTTTCATCCCATATCACCTAGTATTGTACTACGTAGACTGATTTGTTAGATTTGTTCTCTCATTTCTGCCATACTTTGTACCTTGTACATTGTTGCGTAATAAAGTCACTCTATGACTATGTGAAACGACGCTGTGGGGCATAGTTAGGTTTGAAAGACTGTACCTGAAGCCACTGTCCAGACGTTTGCCCACCATCGGAGCACCATGCTGCCGCAAATCGACTGGCCGTGTCCAATCCTTGGGAGTTTAAGAACGCGTTCTCCGTGGAGCAGTGCAAATGGACGGAAGATGCGGTCATCGTGGCGGCAGCATTTTCCATGCCCGACGGCTTCACGATACATGCCTCTGCAAGAAGTAGCCACGCGTGTGTATAGTATTACGTAGAAAGCGTTCGCATTCATCAAGAAAAGAAAATGTTGTGGCACGAAAGAATACAAGCACCTAGACACGCGCGCACACACACAGTTTTTTTTAGTGGTTACTACAACCGCGGGCTATAGTTAGGAAAGGATCTTTAAAAACTAAAACTGCTCTAGCGGCATGAGTGTTTTGCTAGAAAGACAAAACTGCAAATAGTCTCCAAAGAGCGAAACGGACTGCCTTACCGGCGGTCGTTAGCACGACTAGAAGACCAACCAGACAGCGCATGGTGACGGAGACCTTGTCAGACATGTTGTGACTTTTCTCTCCCTCTAGCTACTTATGTCAAGTCTCTGAAAGGTAGCTCCCTGGTAACACGAAGTTGTTTGCGCTATTTGATTCAATTACTGTCTTGAAGGACGAATCAAAACGTCATTAGTGACCTTGGTTTCCTCTGGAGGTCATTTCTCTTGACGCACTTACTTTAGTACATTTTAACTTTAAACTAAACAACGAAGAAGACTTGATACTCGTTTATTTTTCTGATCAAAATATCCATATCATGACCTCATGGTATCTTAAGAGATGTGATCAGGGTTGACGAAGATTACTTTGATTAGAATGTTAGAAATCTTAACGGTGATTTAAGTTGTGAAGCCAGATCTCGTCCTGGTGTACCAAATAATTTACGTTCTAAAATTACGTTTTCTACAAGAAATAAAAATGTTTTGAAGCATTGATGAAAGACATTCTGGGCACGACAGCCTCTATTAAGTTATCCGTTGTTCCACGTCTCAAAGAATTTAGACCAGCTATATTGAATGAGCTGAAGTCCTTTGTTAGCATTTAATCAGCATGGGAAGACTACCAGTTGGTTCTACTTGTTATAATAGACTTGAGTCCTGCCATGAAAGAATCTAGAGATAACTTTATTACCAAAGGTTAGCAAAGGAGGCTGCTGGTTTTTATGTGGAAGAAAACAAACCCAAGGTTGAATGAGGACACGACATATCGACAAAAGTATTTTGTTGACAATTAATTAATGTATTGAGAATCAAAATACCGCCACCAGATTCATGGCCCGAGGGCTGAAATGATGTATCTGTGTATATATACCGTCCCTCGGCGTAACACACCAGCTGATGCTAGGTGTTAGTGACACTAACATCTATACAACACTATACATACATTGAGTTTGGAGCTTCACTTATGACTGAACAGAAATCAGTCGGGCAAGTACGCAGACGAACTCAACAAACACTCTGTATCTGGTACTGAAAATATCAACACACAAAGAAACACACCTGTCCCTGGTTAAAATATCCACCACCCCAGACTCAAACATAGATAAACACACAAAGACATACGCCCGCGTGCCTCATACAGGAATAACAAAACCTGTCCTTGGTGCTAAACATCATTCACACACCCAGAAACTGTCCGGTGTACCCTGCACCTATACGTGTAACGTTAAACCTTTAGTAGATACGAATGAGACGATCATTTGTACTGTGTCTGTACTGTCATTTAAGTTTCTAGAAAACTGGTAGTTTGTGCATGGAATACTGGTGCATGGTGACTGTACATTCAAGAGCTCTCCGTTCATTCTGAGGGTGTAGGCTCCACGGCAACTTTCTTCTTCTTGTACAAAAGGAACCCGCCTATGGCTATTCCAGCTCCCACAAGAACCATCGCTCCGGTCACGCCGCCTGCTACTGCTCCTCCCGGTGCCCCGCCCTTGTTAGCGGCGGCGGATCCTCCCTCCCCCAGCCGGCTGGTAGTTAGCGACGCGGTCGGGGGAGGACTGGTGGGATCCTCCGGCTGTGACATCGTAGTGGTCATGATATTTGCGTCATTTGATGGCCTAGTTGTAACAACGGTTGTGATCGCAGGCGTAGTGGTTGAACCAGCAGGCGTAGTTGTAACAGCAGGCGTAGTTGTAACAACAGGCGTAGTTGTTGTAACAGCAGGAGTGGTGGTTGTAACAGCAGGCGTGGTGGTTGTAACAGCAGGCGTGGTGGTTTTACCAGTAGACATGGTAGTTGTTACAGCTGGCGTGGTGGTTGTAACAGCCAGTGTTGTAGTAGTGGTGGCCTCAGTTGTAGTCGTTGCTGAAGTGAGAGAACCATCTTTTGTAATAATGGACTTGGTCCATGATATGGAAAATAACTCTATTACCAAAGGTACGCTAACGGGAGTAAATAGGAGGCTGATGGTGAATCAAATTTTTATGTGGAAGTGGATGTAGGAATGTCACAAGAGGCAATACGCCTACATAATGGTCTATAGAGCAGAGAGAACTGACTATGGCACTATTTTAGTGTCAAATACCAACACAAATATGTATCCTTTTTGCATAAGTTACGTCAATTGTGATACAAAATAGTTGACGTTAGAACAACGTTTCGCACGACATGTGACTATGTTCAGTGTAATGTCCTTGCATCGTCGATATTTGTGTAAAAAATACAAAAAAGAATTATATTTTTTCTTACCTTGTGATATTCCGTAGAAGTTCAGTTCTAGGAGCCATGGCTGCCAGCCCGAGTGGGTCTGAGGGACCGCGAACTTCCAGATCTGTGCTGTTCCCTGGAAATTGCCGAACTCCTGACGCTGGCTCGTCCCTCCCTGCACGTTACCGACATACACGACGTCCTCCCAAGTTCCAAAGTGAGACTTTTGCAAAGCAAAGGCAGCAATATCATGGGTGATGTCTCCGAAGTTGTTGATTGCGATTTGGGTTAGAGTGTGTGGCACTGCGAGGTCCAGTACGATGTACCAGTTGTTATAGTACCGTTCGTCATTACCAAATGGGTTCCAGTAGGTCCCGTGGTCCCCATCCAAGGCTTTGGCGGCATCGTATGTCACTCCGTCCTCGTCAACCCACGGTGCGCCTGCGGAGTCTTCGACCCATGACGAATCCCGTTCCAGCCATTCACCTGAAAGAGAGGAGACAGAATCACGAAAATCAGCTCTGTCGAAACAGGGAAGTCACGTACTCAGAGATTTCGAGGTTTTTAACTTAAGATACTGTAAGTTATGGTTATCATGTCGAGCAATATGTATCTCTAGAAAAAAAAGAAATTGCAAAAAGTCTCCAAAGAGCGAAAATGACCGGCCTTACCGGCGGTCGTTAGCACGACTAGAAGGCCAACCAGAAAACGCATGGTGTCGGAGACGTTGTCGGACATGTTGTGACATTACTCTCCCTCATGTCTAGTCTCTGAAAGGTAGCTCCCTGGTAACACGGAGTTGATGTCGTTTGTTCTATTTGATTCAATTACTGTCTTGAAGAAAGAATCTAAACGCCATTAGTGAACTTGGACTGTAATGTTTCCTCTGGATGTCAAAGTTTCTCTCCTGACGCACTTCCGTTATTGCATTTTAGCTTTAAAATACACAACGAAGAAGACTTAATACTACTGTAACATTATTATTCGGATCAAAATATCCTTATATCATGACCTCATAGTGAGATGTGATCACGGTTGACGAAGATTACCCTGATTAGAATGTTAGAAATCTTAACGGTGAT